AAAAAAAAAAGAGAAACATTCGTCATTACTGTGGCAGTGGACGAGGACGGAGCCGTGGTGGTGGCAGTGGTGGTGACGGTGTTGTTGTTGTAGTAGCGAGCGTGTGGGTGAAAAGGTCTGGCCGCAGGAAAACCCATGAGCGGCGTCTTGATGGCCATGCCCATGGGAACTGGTCCCAGCAGAGACGACCTGGTGCCAGGTGTGAAGAACTGACGGAACTGTTGCCCCCCCATTCCAAAGCCCCGCATGTTACCTGGACAGATGGAGAACAACACGAGAGGTGATAACGCTCTTGTAGTACATTTAAGGAAATCATTTATTTAAAACAAGTATAGCAATATAAATAGTTGACTACAATGACAACGGTTACCCTGCATTTGTTGCATCAGTATCGCACCCTGCAGCATAGGGTTGGGGGCAATAATTGTGGTCTGTGTAGCCTGGCACAGGTTGACCATCCGGGGTGGAGGTGCAGTCTGAGCCGAGACGGCGATTGCTCTGTGCGGCAAGTAGAAAAACATAAAATAAGAACAAAATCCTAATAATAATAATCATGATAATAAACTCATAATAATATGTATCTCAATAAATCTGTGAGAAAGCCGTCAGACTTTGACTTCTGTCTGATTCTCAAAGTTTTGTTTTTTTTTCTCATGGCGACACACCCACCACGCACCATAAATAAATCAACTCTTGACATAGAACAATGAAATGAGGAGCAGAAGAATCTGGTGAATGACAGAGACATAATCAAGTCACCGGTGGCTTTGACGTCAGCGTTGCATTACAGGACGACGTCCCTTTGTGTCGACTCGGAGGGTTCAAGTGGTTTATTAGAAATCATTGTTCAGTACGCCTGAGAAAAACCAGCGTTCTCAGAGGAACTATAATTAACTATATGAAGCCATGCCAAATCACGGCTTTTTCAAACTGTAAAAATTGAAAGAGAGGAAAATGTTTATACGTCATATAAAACTATAAGAGATGCTTTACATGGTTCCACTTTTCTTATTTTCAAAATGACATCAAGGTCTAATCACCTTGATAAACAAACTGGCTTAAACAGATAGAAACCAAAATTAATCTGATCACATCTGCTGATCTGGGAACAGTAACACACACACATCACATCTGCTGATCTGGGAACAGTAAAACTGACACACACACACATACATAATTAATAGTCAACAAATCAGCAGTTCACAACACACCATATCTTATTAATGTACTACAGACAGCACACAAACACAGACTGTACAGTAAAATGATCAAAAAACAAAATATATTTGTTTATAGGAACTGGGACAGAGCTACAGAAATGTTTTTTTAATAGAAAGAATAGTTGATCTACTCAAACTAAAAACAATCCTCATTGTCTTAATATGACTCATTTTGTTTTTTAAAGTTATTTTTATTGCTGTTTTTTGGTTAATTGAAATGATGGAAATTATAATTTTAATTTATTTAATTTTCACTGTGAAACTGTGCGTCGGTATTTAAAAAACCCTAAAGTTATGCATGCAAAAGAAACACTGGCAAATAATTTAAATATTTGGGTAAAACCACACTTTTAGTTACATTAGATTATGTGGTGGAGTTACATATTGTTTTTGACTTGTTGTTGTTGTTGTTAACTGAAGGATAAATAAAATGTTAATCCCCGATGACTCGGTGACAACATAAAAAAATGTCACATCATATTTCAGTTCTCTCTTCGACTCTGGTCACGTATGTTACCCTAAAGGCCATGTCAGATCCGCGGGCTCAAGTCGACGTGCTTACCGCTGTGTCTGGTGGTGGTGATGGGCGACATGGTGAGCCGGAGGAGGCTGAGGTGGAGGAGGAGGCGGAGGCTGCTGCTGCTGGAAAAGTTGTTGTAGCTGCCGCAGGTGTTGGTGGAACTGCTGCTGCTGTTGCTGCTGTTGTTGATGGATGTGCGGGTTAAACATGACGAGAAAAGGATTTCCGTCGTTGAGGAGCCAATGTTCGGACAATTGTCAGAGAACGAAGGCCCTGGTTGGGGGGAGGAAACACACACACGACTAGTGTTAGTGTTCGTGTTCAGATCAACACCTCCTCCGGCAGGCGTACATTCAACAGCTGTTTCCCCCTCTTCTTTTTGTCTCGCCAACACACCGGTTTAGTGATGACAACTTGCCATTGTTAGCACACGAGCTAACATCCTTCTACATTTGTTTACATGTACGACACACGTTTTTTTCCCACCCAATTCACAAACTTCATTCAGTAATTCTAATGTTCATTATGTGTAAGAGGTATACGTGTTGTTAATAAATAAATAAATAAAAGTAAAACATTTTTGAAACGACAAATGTATAAATATTGTCACCTGTCGCGAGAGAGCAGAGCCAGCCGGTTAGCTTAGCATAGCTAACGCAGATAAAAATCAGCAGCGTCGCTTCTTCAGTTGTTTATTACACTTTATTATCGACCTCGTAATAAAGTTCTTACTTTTTGTTCCAAAGAGAGAGAGAGACAGAGAGAACTACGGTCGACACGGTCCAGTTGCTACTCCAGGAGATGCAGCTCTGCGTAGGGAAGGAGATGAACAACCTGCATGTCCCTGTGGAGAGAATGTCTGGTAACCTGCCGCCACCTGGTGGTTGTCTGGTGAAAATGTTGCAACTCTCCGTTGTGTTGTATGATGTTGTAATGTATGATGATACATTATACGTTATTTGCAATGTATGTGTTTTTTTAATTTTTGGTATTTTTTGTGTTTGTGGCTTTTTACAGTTATGTTTGTGGTTTGTTTGTGGCTTTTTACTTTGCTCTTTTTTGAAATGGCAAAATTTATTTTTTATTATAAAATGAGTGTCGACCTTACCGGCCTGATTTCTGATAGTTTTCGCCTATTTTGTAATTTTTTTATTTATTAATTTTAACCCTTTATTCCTTGTTCAGCACTATTGGGGAAAAGGGGCCAATATTGCCACCAAGTGGTAAGATTGAGGAACTGCAGGAATCTCCTCTGAGATCCTCCTTCCCCCTTTTTATCCACGGCGGGGCTCGGTGGAGAGTAGTGTTCATGTCCTGGAGGAGGTGATCTGACACAGCGACGAGGAGGTGGAGGAGACGCAGTTTATAAAGGAGGAGGGGAAACACACGTAAACTGCTCTGCAACAAGAAGGACAGAAGGAGAGCTTTAAAAAAATAAACCACTGAAGCGGAAAACAGTCTCACTGCACCGCGGAGATGGGGAACCGGGGGATGGAGGATCTGATTCCTCTGGTGAACCGCATGCAGGATGCTTTCTCCGCCATCGGCCAGAACGCAAACCTGGACCTGCCGCAGATTGCAGTGGTGGGCGGCCAGAGTGCGGGGAAGAGCTCCGTGCTGGAGAACTTCGTGGGGAAGTAAGTAGCTTTTCCTCCCAGGCTGCTGCTGCTGCTGCTGCTGTGCCTGTATATCGGTGCGTCATACGAAGCGGCTGCTCTTACAGCAGCCAACCATCCCCCCCAGAATCTTCTCCATCAGCAGGTTCACATCCGGCACCTCACACATCCCGTCAGTGACCATCAAATCGATCACATTTCAGCAGCAGAGACTCCTCTTTGGTCCAAAGCTCCACTGAGGCTAGAAGATTAATTTGTTAGGCCTGACACAAATCCTGGGTAAAGTTCTTGTGCTCTCCACGACATGTGTAGTAGTGGGGGCTGCAGGAGATGAAGCACTTCTGCGGCTTCCCTCAGAACGGATGGGTTTAAAGGTGGGATTTGTTTTGTCTGTAACACAAACACAGACACAGACCGTGGCTCTGCCGTGTCTGTTGTTGTTGTCTCTGCTTCTTAACAACCTGGGGTAAAAAAAAACAACCCAGGATGTCCATGATGACAGAACACATGACAAACTACAGCAAAGAAATGGAAAAACCAGATCCTTGCTGTTGCAGTGCCATCTTGCAGAGAATGTGTGTGTGTGTGTGAGTGTGTGTGTGTGTGTGTCCACCTGAGCTTTGAGCCCTTCCAGCTCAGCTCATCCATCTGTCTGCTCTAAGTGAAGCTTACCTGACGCAGACAACAACACGGGTGTCACCAGCGCCACCGTCTGCTGGCTCTGTTTGTTTGCTTGTT